ACAAGTTCCCAAGTTCCAGCCACTTGCAGAGTCGCTAACTCTTCTCTGATACCTTCTTCCCATTGTACCCAGTCAGTGTTACAGTGCCCCACTCTTTTTCTCATCATCACTGCGGACTCCTATATGGCTATACTTCTAACACTTCCTTTTCACTGCACTGTTTCCTCATGGTCTCCCTTATCTTTGACTCATACCTTGTTTTCCCATAACCTTCCTTTCTTAGTAGCTGTTACCCTTTGCCAAGCCTGGTCTGTGCACAATTCCCTTACGTATATAAACCCTAGTTACCACCTGTATTTTCTCTAACTTGAATCTACTTGGTTCTCCTTGATACTTGAACTCTAGCTCCTTGGGAAGGAGGCTAGCCATTGTCCCATTTGAACTCTAGATCCTGCAGGAGTCTAGACGATCACTCCTGAGGGAGGCATTGACTCAATAAGGCCTAGTCCTTGATCGACTTTGATCTAGATTCCTTGAACGATGCTCTATCCGAGTTCATAACAAAAGATTCAAGTTACCTTTGAACCCCTCCATCTGTAGGGCTTTACTCTTTGAACCTATGAAACTGATTGATTGCCAAAGTGGCACCCTCCAAGAAAAGCAAGAAGGCTTTCTCTGAACGAACTGGGATCCCATACAGTCCCTATCCACCCAACTCTCCCAGATGAACCTCTTCATCACAAGGATCCTTTGACACTCCCCGCACTCCTGTTCTCCCTACTCTTGCTGTCCCAGGCCCCTCTTCCATTACACACTGCACTATTATTTCTCACTTTGAAACAAGTGCACCAGCACCCATAGAAGACAGAGACGAAGAAATCCCTGACGCTCCACCTGTTGAACCAGTAGTGCCACCCAGATTCCCTGCTCCTGAACCAGACACAGACACAGACTTTGACACTGACGATGACATGCCTAAACCTATCAAAAGAAAGATCTGCACTCCACCTGACTTTGACGGAAACCAAGATGGAACCTCAAGGTTCCTCCATCTTGTCACACTCTATCTAGACACAAATGACGAAATCTATGACACCGACACTAGGAAAATTGCCTTCACTCTTTCTTTCATGAAGGAAAGCACAGCTGCAGCATGGATGGAAGACTTCATCAAACATGCCCAACAGCTTGATCCCACATCCACTCATGGAGAAAAGAATGGTTATGGAACTTGGGACAAATTCATTTCCCAGTTTGAAGAAACCTTTAACCCAATCGACTCAGCTGGTACTGCGCTCCATAAGCTCCATGCCCTTAAACAAGGCAATGACTTAAGCAAGTACATAGCCACATTCCGACAGCTCTGTAACCAAGCTGAGATCTACAGCTTCAATGCTCAGAAAGACTACTTCCTCTGAGGCCTTAAACAGCCACTCATCACAAAACTCTGCAACTCCAGAGAGATCCCTGACACCCTTGACAGAATAGTCAAGAAGGTGATATCCATCAAGAATTCCTATCAGCTTCTCCTTGCCCACCGACCCCAGAACAACAACAGGAATACACAATTCAACAATTGCTGATCCACCCCATGCTTCACCCCCAGAAACAACGATCCTAATGCCATGGACATTGATCACCTCTCTGACAATGATAAAAGAGAGTACATGAAGCAAGGAAAATGCTTCTCTTGTGGAAAGGTTGGTCACAGATCTAATGATCAAGAATTCCACCCCCAAAGCGGTGATGCCAGAAAGAATAACTATAAAGGAAAGCAAACAGTAAGGCATACAGTGCCTAAAGAAGAAGACACCAGCAAAATCGAAGATCTCGATGATGATGAAGATCTCAATGCCTGAAGAATGGATTTTTAAACCAGGAGGCTACTGCAATGTTAGCCACTCCTTGTATCGATGTACATATCGCACACAATGTAGGAAAAACTAAAGAATTAAGGGTCCTGGCAACCGTCTTTTCCTCCATACACCCCAATAAATCATTGCAAACTACCGCTGTTGTCAACTGTGGTGCAGCTGCCACATTCATCCATTGGATGTTTGTAAAACATAGAATCAAGACACATCGTTTTGAAACTCCTTTCCCTATCCGAACCGCTGATGGAAAGATTTCCAAGGATCCCATCACCCACTATTGCCACCTCGCAATCAAGATTGATGATCGACTCATGATTGGAAAATTCAATGTTATGAACATGAGTAACAATGACATGATTCTCCTTGGGAAACCTTGGCTTTCCGCCATGAACCCTGATATCGACTGGGCTAAAGATACCCTCTGACTCCCTTCTACTCCTAGATCACTTCGACTTGAAGAAGTATTCAAGAAGAAATGGGGCTTCTCCCCTGCACCTTGCAGAAAAGTCACAATTGAAGAAGAAGAAGACCTGGAGCAATGTAAGCCCGCCTATGCTCCACTTCCTGTAAATGGAAAAAGAACTCTTGAACAACGAAAAGAAAGAAAGAAAGAAGAAGAACCAGTTCCACCTCTTTGGCCAGATCCTGACGAAGATCCACTACCCCAATATGACACCAAAGATGATGTCTGGGATGACATTCCCACTGAACCAACTTTCCTTCGAAAAGTTGATGACCCTGTCACTTATCCCATCAATGATGATGAAGTATTAATTGAATATGCCAAAGACAGCTCTTCTATTACTCTTTTCGAAAATCTTTCCTTCAACACACCCCTCACTTGTGATAGCACTTCTGCCTCCGAGATCCAATGAGCCACAGCTCTATCTCCTTTAAGAAACTCCTGGATCTATGCATGGAAGACCAAAGAAGATGAAGAATACTTGAAAACTAGCAATAAAGCTCAAGAATTCATTCTCAAAGATGCCCAAGAAAAGAAAAAAAAGACTTTTGAAGAACTCGTCCCTGACTATCTTCATGACTTCACTGTGTTGAGAACCCTGGATGGTAGTTAGCTTTGCTAGGTCCCAATCAATGAGGATGCCAATATTCCTGTGTATGGTGATGTTTCCCACACTGAGGTCTTGATGTACAGTGGCTCAAAAAACTGTCCGCATGTTTGACATTTTTCACTATCTATGATATTGTGTGAGAACTCACAAATGCCTCAAGGACATGGTTATACCACATTGTAGTATGGCTTCAGGGCTTTCATTTGAGCCCTACACCATGGGAATCAGTGGAGATATGGTGGAGATACAAGGCTCACAAAATGGTGACTCATGCAGACAGTTTTTTGAGCACATATTAAAACTATATAAATCATCATTTATGACACCATAACAATCATGCCACCATTAAATAAATTATAAAGTGGTGTCATTATGTCATTTTAAAACCATATCTAACTATACAAACCAAAAATTTCCATATGTCATGGTTATATTCACCATGAAAGCCACCCCCCCTGCTCAAAGGGATAATATCCTCTCTCTTTCCTATTCTGGCCTCTCTGCTTGTCAAATTTCCTCTAGAACTGGAGTATCCAAGTCCACTGTGGCCAAGTTCATCAAAGAAAGTCACACAGACAAGGAAAACTTCTGTGAAGGGCGTCCATCCAAGCTCACCTCTACTGATAGGAGGGCTATTATTCAACATATCACTACAGGAAAGGCTGATAATGCTGTCCAGGTCACCTATTACATCAATTCCACCATCACATTCCCTGTCTCTTTACACACTGTGAGAAACATTCTCAAGACAGCTCATCTCAGGTCAGTAACAAGGAAGAAAAGGCTCTCCTCTCTATCACACATAAACAGAGATGACTAACTTTTGCCTTAGCCCATCAGAATTGGATTACATGGAATGGAAGCATGTTATATGATCATATAAGACCACAATAAATAGGATTGGGTCAGATGGCAAGGTATATATGTGAAAAAAGAAGGGTGCTAGTCCTCTCTGCATATGTGTGATAGAGAGGAGAGCCTTTTCTTCCTTGTTACTGACCTGAGATGAGCTGTCTTGAGAATGTTTCTCACAGTGTGTAAAGAGACAGGGAATGTGATGGTGGAATTGATGTAATAGGTGACCTGGACAGCATTATCAGCCTTTCCTGTAGTGATATGTTGAATAATAGCCCTCCTATCAGTAGAGGTGAGCTTGGATGGACGCCCTTCACAGAAGTTTTCCTTGTCTGTGTGACTTTCTTTGATGAACTTGGCCACAGTGGACTTGGATACTCCAGTTCTAGAGGAAATTTGACAAGCAGAGAGGCCAGAATAGGAAAGAGAGAGGATATTATCCCTTTGAGCAGGGGGGGTGGCTTTCATGGTGAATATAACCATGACATATGGAAATTTTTGGTTTGTATAGTTAGATATGGTTTTAAAATGACATAATGACACCACTTTATAATTTATTTAATGGTGGCATGATTGTTATGGTGTCATAAATGATGATTTATATAGTTTTAATATGTGCTCAAAAAACTGTCTGCATGAGTCACCATTTTGTGAGCCTTGTATCTCCACCATATCTCCTCTGATTCTCACGATGTGGTGCTCAATCCAAAGCCCTGAAGCAGCACTACAATATGGTATCAGCATGTCACTGAGGTCTTTATGTATTCTCACACAATATTGTAAATAGTAAAAAATGCAAAAATATGTGGACAGTTTTTTGAGCCACTGTATGTTGCCAACCTTGTAGATAGTCATAAGTGTAAAGTACAAAATGTAATCAAAAAATTGTACCAGTTCCTTCAAAGTGACCTCCAGTGTGTTACTCAGCACATGCAAGATGTGCTGACCGATGTGATTCCACATGTTGAGGATGCTAGATTCACAAAGGGGACACACAGAGATTCAATCCCCTTTGGACACTCCAAGCAAATTACTAGCTTCCATAGAAATGACACTGGGAGTACCTGTAAGTGAAAATGTACCATTAGGAACAAATTGACAAGACAAACATGAAACACTTACCATCTGAACATCTATAAGGAAATTTGGTCTCATCTGAAGGAGTCACAACTGTGATTGACTTAAGGGGGACATTTATCTCCACTGCTTTCGCCCATAGCAGGTCACAAGCTGCTTGCAGAGCGTCTCACAATATCTGCTACATGCTCTGGCCCCCATTCACTTGCAAGAACTCATCCACATTGATGTTGTCATGTAGTCTAATGAAGGTAGGCTCAGGATTGACAGGCTCAACAAGAGAACCTGGGACAGTCACAACAATGACATGTTCTGTGGACTGTGAGGAACCTTGAATCACCAAATGCGCTGTAATATATCCACCGTCCCATAAGAATACCTGGGAGATGTCAGGTAAAGGGCGAGTAGAAATGATGCTGAGGAGTTGACCGGTGATTTTCACCATGGTTCTTGAAGCCTTCATCATGCCTATGTTGATTGATGACTGAGAAATACTGCTGAGAGTTGCTGTAGTCAAATGAAGTATGCCAATAGAAAGAGTGCGAGTGGAACAAAGGATGGTAAGAAAAATATCTCCAATGAGGAATAAGTTCTGGTTAGTGATATGTCCTGCTGATATGTTGATCTGTTTGTTGACTTTTGTATAGCCTGCATGGATGCACTCAAGTTGATTGAGCAATTTTGAGACAAAGTCCTTATTAACAACTAGACAGCAGACCATCTGTTTGTGAATCCAGCATCCACTATACAGCAGATAGTCATTGGGACAGATACCTAGGCCTTGTGGTAAGGGAGGGGACAATGGATCTAGAGTGTGAGGATGGTTGGACTGAGCTGGGGGGGCATCAGTAGGCAAGTCATCAATTAGGGCCTCTTGAAACGTTAACATAATTTCTTCATCATCATTCTCTCCCTGCAACTCTCTAAGACCAGCACCCTCAACACCATCCTCACTCAACACCATTTCCAGTAGGCACTGTGAGGTAGGAGACATTGCAATAAGAGGGGGAGGTCTGGGCACTTGGCTTGGGTCATCGAGCTCATCGTCTGTACTATTGATGCCAAGATATTTGTTTTGTCCAAACAGATGTAGCATGTCGATGCCAGAGGTAGCAGTGAAGAGTTCCGCATAGGAGTAATGAGCCAGATCAAGCTGTGAAGTGGTAAGGATTGAAAGTGCATCATCATGACCTTTGTGCCATGATAATGGGAGATCGCATTAACCAGATACAATATCACCCTCCCAGACCTCTCAATTAATGTGATCAACTCCCTCGTGACAAGTGAGTTTCAATCATCAGTGACCCGGATCAAGCTCAGGATGACACTTGAATACTCCATTGATATCTTTTGCAGCAGCAAGGTGGTCAAGAGCCTGGGCATAGGAACAAGCCAAATTGTGCCCACCAATCATGTGAGTGTGCCCAAATAGAATTTCAAGGGGGTCATCTCCAACATCACCAAGGAAAAAAGGTGCATATGTATCAAGAGACTGTTGCTTCACAAGGCAGGATATGTTATGAACTCGGATAGAGCGTCATTCCAATAAAGGAATCAAGATCAAAGTCGATCAAGGACTAAGCCTTATCGAGTAAATGCCTCCCTCAGGAGTGATTGTCTAGACTCCCACAGGATCTAGAGTTCAAATGGGACAATGGCTAGCCTCCTTCCCAAGGAGCTAGAGTTCAAGTATCAGAGAGAACTGAGTAGATTCAAGTTAGAGAAAATACAGGTGGTAACTAGGGTTTATATACGTAAGGGAATTGTGCACAGACCAAGCTGGGCAAAGGGTAACGACTACTAAGAAAGGAAGGTTCATGGGAAAACAAGGTATGAGTCAGAGATAAGGGAGACCATGAGGAAACAATGCAGTGAAAAGGAAGCGTTAGAAGTACAGCCATATAGGAGTCCGCAGTGATGATGGGAAAAAGAGTGGGGCACTGTAACATTACCCCCTTGTCAATGTCTAAAGTCACCGACTTTAGTCACTAAAATTCTGATAGTTGTTAGGGTCGAAGTCAGCATCTTTCGCAAACTGCTTCTCATGCTCCTCTTGTTCAAGATCTTTTCTATCTTCATAGATCTTAAGCTGATGATGGAAGGCCCACGAGCCAGGTTTGGCATTAATGATACGGCATCCTTGAAGAGTGGGACAGTAGGTGGTAAGGTGCTTAGGAGCATGGTGGTGGCATTCTGGGCAGAAGTAGCAAGGGCAATGGACCTGACGATGTCCTTCTTGCTGGCAGTAGCGACAAGTAATGGTGGAATAATTGACACCATTTCAGTCTCAGTAAGTCTCCTCAGAAGGAGCGTGAGAATCGGAAGAAGACATGGGTTTGTCTTCATCAATGATAATAGGTGGTGCAGGGGATGGTGTCAAGGGACGAGAGAGGCCTATTCCAAAGGCAACAGTGTTTCTTTTCTTACCACAAGTGTGGTGTGGGTTTCCTGTAGAGCGGACTGCGAGCTGAGAGGGAGCAGGGACAGGGGTGTCATCATCAGAAGATTCTGATGGAGATCTAGGGACTTCCTGGGTAGTGAAACGAAGAGGTTCAGTGGAGACAGAGCACTCCAGTTTGACCATATCTGGGGTGAGAGCTTGCTCAAACCCCTTTTCTATGAGTCTGTCTGCAGCAAGTGCTTTGATCTTGGTCATATGATAGATGATGGAACATTTGGTGGTTTCTTTGGTGGGGGCTGCGATGGTATGGGCATAGCTAGACGCTAGGTCTGCACTGCAATGGATGGTCATTAAAGAAAGAGAATCAATGTCTTCAGAAAAGAAATGGTCTAAAGGTAAAACACAAGGGAGAGAAGAAAGGGTCAATTCAACAAGAGCTCACTTGTGATGAAGTTCGAGCTGAGAGCGATGGAGTTCAAGAGAAGAGTTCGAAGATCTTGAAGAAGGCATATTCAGGGATCAGGTTTCTAGGTAAGGAGTCGAGAGAGTTGAAGGCGGTCTTTATAGGTTTTGAGGATTTCCTGGGCATTGTCTAATTCCTTTTCAGGGAGCCAGGAGTTATCTGAAGAAGGGTAACCCTTCCATGATACAAGGAAGTGTCGTTTTCCTTTTATGTTTCCCTTATGGGCGAGAATAGCTTCTATTTCGTATTCTTCTTGTCCATTGATGATGTCAGGAGGGGGTTTGGTGTGGTTCAGTCCGTGGACTTCTGTCTCCCGATAGGAGGATAACTCAGAAGCATGGAAGACAGGATGTGATTTCCAGGAGGTAGGGAGTTGGATCTTGAATGTGATAGGGGAGAGAACAGCTTCTACTGTGAAAGGGCCATAGCGTTTAGGGGCAAGCTTCTTTGAGGGTAATCCAGTGATAAGGTTCTTTGCTGATAACCAGACTTTCTCACTGATCATCCAGGGTTCAAACTTCTTTCCAAAGGTCCGATCAGACATGTGTTGCATGGTGAGATTGTGACAAGAGATGGCTTCTTCTCGGATCTTTTGAAGGTATTTGACTCAATCTTCTGCTGCAGGGACAGCAGAATTTGGGAGAATATAGGGGATTCCTCAGGGTTCATAACCCATCATGAGGTGGAAAGGGGAGAAATTGCAGGCATCATGTTTTCAATGATTGTGGACAAATTCAGCCATGGGTAGATGCTTTACCCAATCAAGAGGAGTGGAGTGGCAATAGATGCGAAGGTAGGTTTCAAGTTCCTGATTCAGATGTTCAGTCTGTCCATCAGTTTGTGGGTGGTAGGCGGTGGAAAGTGTGACTTCATATTCAAGGAGTCTTCCAAGTTCTTTGGTGAATTTAGAGGCGAACTGGGGTCCTCTGTCGGAGATGATCTTGTCATAGAGTCCGAATCTGAGAAAGACTTTCTTGAAAAAGAGTTGGGCGACTCCTTCTGATGTGATGGTTTTCTTGCATGGTGAGAGAATTACCCCCTTCATAAGGCCATGGTCTACCATGACCATAACCGAATCAAAACTGCCTGATTCAGGTAAATCAGTGATTAGATCTACGGAGATCTGTGAGAAGGGGTGAAGCGCAGAGGAGGGAATAGGGTTCAAGGGTGGAGTGGAAGGATGAGTGTCAGATTTCATTTGCTGACATAGGGTGCAACCCTCGATGTATTTGCGGATAAATGTGCCCATTCCGGGCCACCAATAGTCTTGTTTGACTAATTCTTTGGTCTTAAAGCGTCCTGGGTGCCCAGTGGTGGGATAATCATGGTGAAGGTGGAGAATATGGTGTCAGAGATGAATGGGGACATAAGCACAGTTTTTATAAAACAAAGTGCCATCATCAAATCTCCAATCAGAGAGGGCTGATTTCATAGGGGGTGCATTTAACCTGTCAAGGGCTTGTTGCCCAGCAAGGATGACCAGATCAGAGAGGGGGTTCGTGGATTTCAGGGCATTGGTGAGGTCATTGTCAATAAGAAAACATAGTGTCCGGGAGAAGTGTGACATCGGAGTTATCCGAGGGATCAGAAGAGTGGTCAGGACGGTGTGAAAGAGCATCAGGAGCAGCAAGTTTGCTTCCTGGGACATGGTGAAGTTCAAGATCAAATTCATTCAGGGTGAACTGCCAACGTGCTTGTCGGTGAGTGAGATTCTGTGCAGAGTGGAAGTAGAGGAGATTCTTGTGATCAGTGAAAACGATGACAGGGTGAGGGTTCCCTTCAAGGTAGTGTCACCATGCTTTCAAAGCACGGATAATAGCAAGGAGTTCATGATCGTAGATCTGGTAGTTTCGTTCAGCAGGATTAAAAGATTGAGAGAGATAGCCACTTGGGTGGTAAGCACCATTCTCGTCAGTCTGAAGGAGGACTGCTCCAGTGGCAACAAGTGAAGTGTCGGTTGCAAGGGCAAATTGTCGGGAAGGGTCAGGGTTTCAGAGGACAGGTTCTGATAAGAAGCACTGCTTCAGTTTCTCAAAGGAATTGGTGCATGATTGCGACCATGTGAAGACAGCATCTTTCTTTGTTAGGTCTATCAAGGGTCGTGCAAGGTCGGAGTAATGGGAGATGAAGTGTCGATAGAAGTTGCAAAACCCTAGGAATGAATGGACTTCTTTTACTGAAGTCAGAGTTGTCCATTGACTGATACCAGATAATTTGGCTGGATCCATTGCGACTTGTCCAGGGCAAATTATCATGCCAAGGTAGTCGACTTCTTGAGCGTCAAAGGTGCATTTTTCAGGTTTCAGAAAAAGGGTTTCTTTTTGAATGATGTCAAGTATACAGTGTGTTTGTTTCTGGTGTTCTTCTAGGGTTTTCGAGAAAATGAGGATGTCATCCATATAAATGATCATCCATCCTTCAGCGATTTCTTTTTGGAAAGTCTGATTCATGTAGGCTTGGAACGTTGCAGGAGAGTTGCATAGGCCAAAGAACATGACCTTCGGTTCAAAGAGTCCGAAGGAGGTGGTGAATGCCACTTTCCAGCGATCATCAGGGTGGATCAAAATATTGTTGTATCTGGATTTGATGTCCATTTTGGTGAAATACTTGGCATCCCTTAGCTTGGCGATGAGAGGGGGAATCAGAGGAAGGGGATAGGCATTCTTTATTGTCCACTCATTGATGTAACAATAGTCTTGGCAAGGTCATAGAGATCCATCTTTCTTTCCTATGAAGAAGAATCCGCTGGCTTGCGGAGATTTCAAGGGTTGGATAAAATCTTTAGCAATGTGCTCATCAAGAAAAGCTTTCACAGCATCGGTTTCTTTTGGAGATAAGGGGTAAGTTTTTGTGGATTTCGGAATATATCCGGGTTTGGTTTCAATTCTATGATCAATACCTGGTCGAGATGGAGGAAGCTTGTTTAAGCTGTCTTTGGCGAAAACATTGGCAAAGTCATGAAGATAGTCAGGGACGAGCTCTTCAAAGGTCTTCTTTTTCTTTTCTTGGGCGTCTTTGAGAGCGAATTCTTGAGCTTTATTGCTAGTTTTCAAGTATTCTTCATCTTCTTTGGTCTTCCATGCATAGATCCAGGAGTTTCTTAAAGGAGATAAAGCTGCAGCTCGTCAGATCTCAGAGGCAGAAGTGCCATCATGAGTGAGGGGTGTGTCGAAGGAAAGGTTTTCAAAAAGAGTAATAGAAGAGCTGTCTTTGGCATATTCAATTAATACTTCATCGTCATTGATGGGATAAGTGATAGGGTCATCAACTTTTCAAAGGAAGGTTGGTTCAGTGGGAATGTCATCCCAGACATCGTCTTTGGTGTCATATTGGGGTAGAGGATCTTCATCAGGATCTGGCCAAAGAGGTGGGAGTGGTTCTTCCTCTTTCTTCTTTTCCTTTCATCATTCAAGAGTTCTTTTCCCATTTACAGGAAGTGGAACACAGGCAGGTTTGAATTGTTCCAGGTCCTCTTCTTCCTTGATTGTGACTTTCTGCGAGGTGCAGGGGAGAAGCCCCATTTTTTCTTGAATACTTCTTCAAGTCAAAGTGATCTGGGGGTAGAAGGAAGTCGAAGGGTATCTTTAGCCCAGTCGATGTCAGGGTTCATGGCCGAAAGCCAAGGTTTCCCAAGGAGGATCATATCGTTGTCACTCATGTTCATGATGTTGAATTTTCTGATCATGAGTTGATCATCAATCTTGATTGCGAGGTGACAATAATGAGTGATGGGGTCCTTGGAGATCTTTCCATCGGCGGTTCGGATAGGGAAAGGGGTTTCAAAACGATCCGTCTTGATTCTGTGTTTTCTTACAAACATCCAATGGATGAATGTGGCAGCTGCGCCACAATTGACAACAGCAGTGGTTTGCAATGATTTATTGGGATGTATGGAGGAAAAGACGGTCGCCGGGACCCTTAGTTCTTTAGTTTTTCCTACATTGTGTGCGATACGTACATCGATACAAGGAGTGGCTAACATTGCAGTAGGCTCCTGGTTCAAAAATCCATTCTTCGGGCATTGAGATCTTCATCATCATCGAGATCTTCGATCTTGCTGGTGTCTTCTTCTTTAGGCACTGTATGCCTTACCGTTTGCTTTCCTTTATAGTTATTCTTTCTGGCATCTCCATTCCAGGGGTGGAATTCTTGATCGTTAGATCTGTGACCAACCTTTCCACAGGAAAAGCATTTTCCTTGCTTCATATACTCTCTTTTATCATTCTCAGAGAGGCGATCAACGTCCATGGCATTAGGGTCATTGTTTCTAGGAGTGAAGCATGGGGTGGATCAGTGGTCATTGAATCGGGTGTTCTTGTTGTTGTTCTGGGGTCTATGGAAAAGGAGAAGCTGATAGGAGTTTTCAATGGATATCACCTTCTTAACTATTCCATCAAGGGTGTCAGGGATTTCTCCAGAATTGCAAAGTTTTGTGATGAGTGGCTGTTTAAGGCCTCAGAGGAAGTAATCTTTCTGAGCATTGAAGCTGTAGATCTTAGCTTGGTTACAGAGCTGTCGGAATGTGGCTATGTACTTGCTTAAGTCATTGCCTTGTTTAAGGGCATGGAGCTTATGGAGCACAGTACCAGCTGAGTCGATCAGGTTAAAGGTTTCTTCAAATTGGGAGACGAATTCGTCCCAGATTCCATATCTGTTCTTTTCTCCATGAGTGGATGTGGGGTCAGGTTGCTGGGCATGTTCGATGAAATCTTCCATCCATGCTGCAGCTATACCTTCCTTCATAAATGAAAGGGCAAAGGCGATTTTTCTGGTGTCAGTATCATAGATTTCATCATTTGTGTCAAGATAGAGTGTGACAAGGTGAAGGAACCTAGAGGTTCCATCTCGGTTTCCATCAAAATCAGGTGGAGTGCAAATCTTCCTTTCAATTGGTTTGGGCATGTCATCGTCAGTGTCTGAGTCTGTGTCTGCATCTGGTTCAGGGGTTGGGAATCTGGGTGGTGCTACCGGTTCAACAGGTGGAGTGTCAGGAATTTCTTCATCTCTGTCTTCTACAGGTGCTGGTGCACTTGTTTCAAAATGAGAAACAATAGTGCGGTGTGTAATGGAAGAGGGGCCTGGGACAGCAAGAGTAGGAAGGACAGGAGTGCGGGGAGTGTCAAAGGATCCTTGTGACGAAGAAGTTCATCTAGGAGAGTTAGGTGGATAGGGACTGTATGAAATCCTGGTTTGTTCAGAGAAAGCCTTCTTGCTTTTCTTGGAGGGTGCCACTTTGGCAATCAATCAGTTTTGTGGGTTCAAAGAGTAAAGCCCTACAGATGGAGGGGTTCAAAGGAAACTTGAATCTTTTGTTACAAACTCGGATAGAGTGTCATTCCAATAAAGGAATCAAGATCAAAGTCGATCAAGGACTAAGCCTTATCGAGTAAATGCCTCCCTCAGGAGTGATTGTCTAGACTCCCACAGGATCTAGAGTTCAAATGGGACAATGGCTAGCCTCCTTCCCAAGGAGCTAGAGTTCAAGTATCAGAGAGAACTGAGTAGATTCAAGTTAGAGAAAATACAGGTGGTAACTAGGGTTTATATACGTAAGGGAATTGTGCACAGACCAAGCTGGGCAAAGGGTAACGACTACTAAGAAAGGAAGGTTCATGGGAAAACAAGGTATGAGTCAGAGATAAGGGAGACCATGAGGAAACAATGCAGTGAAAAGGAAGCGTTAGAAGTACAGCCATATAGGAGTCCACAGTGATGATGGGAAAAAGAGTGGGGCATTGTAACAGAATATAGCATTCTTTGTCATTGTCTGTGTGTCGTAATAGAGTTGATATGACATAAAGGAGCAGCAATGAGCATGGAAAAATGAGAAAGCAAGGTGTGAATAATGGCTGAGGTGCTCAAATTGCTGGGACAAAGAGAGATCGACATGGATGAAAGGCATTAGGATGGATTCAAGGAGTTTACTGAGTAGATAGATTGATGCAACATCAGCACGAGTGTTGATGTCCAGGGAAAATGAATCATTGGTGATGTGGAGCTGGGAGTTTGAGAATTCGATGATGGCAAGCATAAGCTCAACTGCCCAAGGGTCATCTTGAGGGTCATCAGGGTAAAGCAGTTTCGTCACAGTGGCTTCTTCATATGTGGGCAACCACACAAGATAGCGTGCAAGCATCATTGAATTAATGACATGGCCATTATTCAAGACAATGCCCACAGGTGACTATATGAGTGTGCAAATCCCTAGGTTTATATTAAATCAATAGTGTTCATTGCCATAAAACAAGAATTTATGCTTAAAAATGTGCTTGAAGTCGAAATCAAGCATCATTTCACCTGCACCAGTAAACAAATTGAGGCCCAGCATATTGATCAGTGTGCCATACAAAGGTGAGTCTGGAACTAAAGGTGTCTTAATGAAAAGTTTGTGTCCCACAGCACGTCAAGTGGTATCACCATCCATCACAAAAGACCAAGCAGGTCCAATGGATGCAGCTGCATGACTTGAGTTCCAGTGTTCAACAGTTTGTGCAAGGATGCACTCCATGTCTGAGGTGTCCTCTGTCTTGCAAGTGGGCGCTGCCAGGATAGGGTATATCTTGTCTTCTCCAAAGCACAAGAGACCGATTACAGTGAGCTCCTTTCCAAGATGGACATGGCCATCGTGGATCTTCTGCACAATACTGATGGTGGAGTCATATGTGTGCAGAACCAGGTCGATAACATGCAAGTGCTTCCAACAAAGGCCTCCAACTTTGTTGAACTTACGAAAATGGACTGCCATCTCCCCAAGTGCAATCTTATCAATCATGAAGCTAATGCCACGCAAGGGCAACAAATCTGAGCAAGTGTTGAGAACAATTGTTTGGATGTTGTGGTCAAATTGTTTGTTGTGTATTGGACCAATGGTCGGCATGATAGATGTGAATGTTGAATTAGTACGAAGAGTGTGGAGGGATGGGATGTTGAGTTTCTGGTTCAGTGCAAAAAGCAACTGATGCCCCCCCAGTCTAAAGACCAGGGTGGCAATATCCAAATCATCAGCACCATATCCGCGTGGTCGGTATGCACCCTCAAGAGCATCCTCTAACTTGTTGATGACTTCTCTGATGCTGGCACCATTTCATAAAGCAATGTTGATAACTTGATGAATGTGAGGGATGTCATTTTCAGAGATAGCCATGAAGAGCCAGTTGTAATCGTCCAGCTGAGTGAGAGCATACATATATCTGTGTGAGTCGTTACAAGTCTATAGAGCATTAATTACAATACAGATGAACAATAAAAAAAAACATACCTGCAGCTTCAATTGATTGACTTGATTGGCATGTTTTGTAACTGTGTCTCGCATATGTGCGAGACCCAGATATTGATAGTTCATATGGGCCTTGGGACTACATGTGATATCAATGAGGCAATAGATGTGCACATACATTTCGCCACACTCTTCACATGGGTAGAGTTCCTGAATAGTGACATGCATGCAAAGTTTTGAACAAGCGCGAGGGAGTCAGGGAACTGTGATGTCAATGGTGAATGGGAGTCCATCTGGTCCATCATTGTAGCATGCCCAAGGAAAGCACATGTAGAACAAGTGTAGATCCTCAGGCCAATTGATAGGGATACCTGGACACACAATGTCATCTTTAAGAGAATGCAAATGCATGTCAGAATGCCACATAACATCCCAATCATCCATGTTACTGAAAATGACATAATGATAGTCAATTGTTGACAAAATCCGGCCAAAATGAACTCACATGTGTTGATGGTGAGGCTCAACCATTGTACTGGCTTTTTGAGATGTCAAGTTTTGCTTTTTTGCAGCAGCCACTGCACACTTTTTGCTTCCTCAATGATTTGTTAATGATTTGAACTGACCAGGTGTGCAAAGAGGTAGGCCTGTGTGGATACTGGTCTGGGACCAGTCTCCACACTCAGGACAAAGAATTTTCCATCAGTCTCCAAACTGATCCAATACTTGTAGCCAATTGGCCTTGAATAATACATGCAGGGATTCAGGCATATTGAGTTTGAATTGTGCCTTGATATCAATGTCATTATCATTATCCAAGACCGAGGCTGGGACTGAAGATGTATTTGATGATTGGCTGTTGGTTGAGGATTATCGACTCAGAGAGTGAGAATTGAGTGAGGTATAGTCAGGTATACTACAAGATGAACTATGCAAATGATTGTCTGTGTGTGATGGTACTTGAAAGTCTATAGTTGGTGTCTGCGAATGTCCCGATGATGTATTAGAATAATGCGAATGATGACTTGATCTGAAATGTGTTGTTTGATAGGAATTGTCCTCGAAGTCCATGATGTATGCAGCATTGTTGTTGTTATTACTAGAAGCAAACCATGAGTCATAACATATAGATTTATGAGTCGTAGAATACATAGTGAATGAGGTTTAAGGAGAGAGAGATGCGAGTTGTTGACGAGACGCGTCGAATCGATATTGACGTGTCATATTGATATTAATTATTAGTCACGTGTTCTCGAAAATCACATCCAAGATCTGACATTTAGCAGGTACCGTCTCTACATGCTCGTATTTCATTAGAATAACTATCTAGATCTATTCTACAGTAGTAAAAACACCCCCTTTACGGTACTCGCCAAACGATTTTACGATGATTTGAGACTGCTGGCGAGGAACTCAAAACGTGTGGCTCGTAACTTCATGTGGCTATGTATTAAGGTTTTTTTGCTTATCTAAAGTTGAGCTCTGTGTTCGGGATTTTGCGAACGCACACCTCTTGCATATACACATTCCAAACATTCGTAAATTTTGGTTGCTGAACAGGCTCAAGGTTGAAGAGTAACTTGAAGCTAGGCCAATCATCACACTTCGGACTTCCATCCGGAATTCGGCTCAATCCTCCGGGATGAGCACTGCAAACTGCCATTGTCGGCTACCTGGAAAGTCTTTTCCGATATTCGACTCTGAAACTTGTGCCTTATGGCATGGACCACTTACTAGCGGCGGCCATGTAGGTTAAGATTCCTGTGCATTTCAACTTTATTCTAACGGTCTGGCTACAAGTCCGAGGTATACTGTTAACTAGGGCGGTGCTAAGACAAAACGGCCTATGCACACTTGCGCAACAATTCCGGTCCATCACACTGTTCTTCTGTGGGTCTTTCCACTATGGGATGTCCGACATTGTTATTCATTCATTTTGAGTGTAGGTGCCTTGGCATGGACAATACGCTAGTGGATGTTGCCACAGGCCAACATAACCGAGGACAGCAACATGCCACAAAGGGAGTCGTTTATAAAGCCATTGACTTCATGGAAACTACCACCATCCTCTTCTTCGTTAATGTCCTCCCCAATGCTTGTTGACTACTTACAAAGACGTGAGAAGCTTATCACAGAGGACCGCGCCTTGCGAATAGACCGTGTTCGTGCGAATTACACCGCGGTTGAACTGAAGGCAGATGAAGTTGTGCGCTCCATCCGTGCTAAAGAGGCTATTACTGTTTGGGGGATTAATCACGAGCATATCCCTCACCCATATCCAGGGATGGAGTTCTTGAATGGTATGATGCTCGGCTCGTACTTAGCGCTTCATCTCACATCTGCGTGTAGCCAAAGAAATCATTTTACAGACGGATCTCTACAGTAAAATAGTCTCCAAAGTAAGCATAGAAAATCACCGTGCGTCCCGTCACCAATCATCTTGACCGCAATTCCCCTGTAGATGCCAAAGGGTGGGCTATTGCATGTACACCAGAACGCCTCTGTGGAGGCGAGAACACTTCTTGATCTGGCATTGGGTCATCCCGCGATACATATCCGCGTCCCTGGTCCGTTAGACACAGCGTCTCTCGAAACAGTACTGCCCACAATCCAGCCAATTCCTGTGGAGCAGTACCCTGCTGCCGATGTAATTGGTATCACAGATGTTTTATACACCGGTGGCTGGGTTCCTATGAAGAAGGCGCGAGAGCTCTTCGATCCTGCATTGGGCGGCCCTGCTGGATTTGATGAGTGGGTGCTCAGCGCCTTCATGATCAATCCCAGTGATGCGTACAATACGTACAATACACCGATGAAAGTGAGCTCCATACTGACATGTAACCTGGTGAACACGTCCTTAATGTGAGACTTGCAGATTTGGCTGAAGTTTGGAAGTACCTTTGGCGTGACTGATGTGAGTCTGTAGCGTACCGGAAGTCAAGATGTGCGCATGTACTGATGAAACTTAGCCCATCATTCGTTTCGTGCCGATTCAAAAGGAATACTTGCGGATGTTCATTCGCTCGTCAATAGATGATGGTATCTCGTACATCGAGGTACGAACTAGTTTTTTTAAAAAGTAAGTCAGAAAGACATGTCCATGATTGAGATACCTGACATTTCGTTAGATACATACTTGCAGAGGACGCGAAGACCAAACTTGAATTACGCGAATTACTCATGATATTCCGAGAGGTCACAAACGAAATAAAAGCGGAAATGAAGGCGAAAGGTCAAGAAGACGATTTTGCTGGGTTGAAGGTTAGCTTGGTTTCGGTTGGACCTATGCAAGCTCAGGCCGATCTTTTTCCTAGATTATCTATAATACCCTGAGAATTGTCTCCCCCGAAGAATTGGAATCGGAACTAGAACAGTGCAGCAGATTCAAGCAGGAATTCCCGGACCTTATTGCTGGCAAGTCCCGCGGGTTTGTTATAAGTCAGCAGACCCAGATTTAATAGTTCTATCTACCAGGATTTGATCTCGTGGGCCACGAAGATGGGGCGGAGTGTAAACCGCTCATTGATTACGCAGAGCCACTTCTGCGTTTCGCCAAGCAGCATCCGGACATCCCATTCATCTTTCATGCTGGTGAAACTTTAGGTGATGGCACTGCAGCGGACATGAACCTGTATGATGCGATTCTTCTTGGAACGAAGCGTATAGGACACGGGTTAGGTGCATTGTATAGCATAAAGCGCTCGCTAACTCATTGCATAGATTTTCACTAGCTAAGCATCCCAAATTGATGCAAATTTGTCGAGAAAAGAAAATCGCAATTGAAGTCTGCCCTATATCGTGAGTGACTCGTGCAAATAGGCACCTCCAATTGATTTTGATCTTTCGATAGAAATGAAGTGCTAGTGGGTTTTTCTGTATACTGTCTTGGAGCCTTATGTTGACTCAAGAAATGATAGCGTCTTACCTCAGCTATGCCTATGCACCCCCTCCCAATAATCATGAACCAAGGCATTCCGGTGGTACTGTCTTCCGACGATCCTGCGATGTTTAATAGTATGGGGTTGTCTTTTGATTTCTTCCAGGTGACCTCTTCTTTGTTTCTCTCTTGCTGGAACCAGACTCATCAGCCGCTTCTAGGTACTGGTAGCAAGTGAAGTAACGGGGCTCCTTACTCTTGGCCAGATGGCCCGTGACAGCATTACGGTGAGCCATGTCCTTGACCTTGTCTCTTGCATTGTGTAATGTTCCCTGTGTAGTATTCCATGCTAGACGAACGGAGTAAGCGTACAGCTATGGATGCATGGGAACGACAATGGGCCAAATTCGTAGAAGAGGTTGCGGCGATGGATCCGTGATTCAGTGAAACTTTGGCTCCCCGAAATACCGAAATACCGAAATATAGAGCTTTGGATGTTGTGGAGATGCATAAACTTATCATACTTGTGTCAATATTCAATGCGGGTACTCCTTATGACCCTTCCGTTACGAACGGTATCATATTACTACTAGTATTAGACCAAACCCCTACCATTTCAGTGGTCTCATGTAAGTGTCGGTAGTCCAAGGGCTGCATACAATATGATAATATCCCTTGGTAACTAATCGCATTCCGGAGTGAGTGACAAAGTCATCGACGTCTTTCAAGTTGTTGGTTCAATATAATGACTGCAACAGCTGTGAGTTCATGTGAAACGTCGAATCCTACGAAGCAGCGTGGTGGGGAATACAAGAGAATTACGTCGGATAACAATATCATCGTACAAGTCAGGGACATGACTTCTGTTCACGATATGATGGATGTTAGAACATTGCTAGAGATGCTGTAGCTATGAGTATCGTAGCACAAGCTCTAACGCTGTATACCTTGCAGTGCTTGCACAGAGCACTTTCTCTAGGATTTATGTCATGTAGTTATGCTGACTTACGACAGAAAATCAAAATATCATTGGCGAATCGTTACTGGTTCACTGAGCGCACTAGCCGGGAAGGCGTTGTTCGTCGACTGCCTACCCAACCATATTGTAAAGTTGCTCAATACCTTCAGAGTCGGGTATATTGATGTGGTTTGCATGTCTGATGATAATTCAGACACGACGGATAGAATGAGGTGCGGGAGTTTCTTTTCAACAATTCCAATTGAAGGTGCTAAGACATTGGGTAATCTGCATAGGACCGAGCGAAGCATGTAAACGGATGATTGTGGAATACAGCAGGCCGAAGGTGATACTGAGTTAGCTCCTTGACAATACTTGAGGAGTCCGAGGTTGGCCCTCGTATGAGCACTTTGGGTAAGTAATACCTGGGATGAGCACGGGATTTCCGTACTGCAGAATAATAATTAGGATGGCACAGCAGAAATATAGTGTTGTAATGGGAACTCACGCATGAAAGAGTAGGCTTGTGCCAACGGGGGCAAATATTGTAAGGAGACGACGTTGGACAGATCCGGTGGGTTGGAGCTTCCCGATGATTGAGTCATATTCGACACTACCACCTGGGAAGCACAAATCAACCGACATAGGTCCGTGAGTGGGCGGGGCAGTATACAGGTAGGCGATTATAGACAGGTGGCGGGATTAGCAAGAGGATCATGTTAATCATTGTAGAGAATGTGATACTGTTCGAAGTCGTCATTAATAGGCTGATCACCGTGGTCAACGTGGGTCAACGAAGTTGGTCATCTACATTTCTTGTGGTGGGATGTACGCGTCGTGAAATGAGGTGGCGAAATTAGCAAGAGGATCATGCTAATTGTAGAAATTTTTATAATGTTACCATAATCCATCATTAGCTGCAGGCAGATCATCGTGTTCAACGAAGCTCGTCGTCTATATTTCTTATGGTGGGATGTGCGCATCATGAAATGAGCCATATAGATAAGCCTGCGTTTGGGGGGCCAGATAAAATGACATTAAGCCATGGTTGTGGGCATTAATATTCGTCAGTGCTGCGTTATGTAATGACACGTCACACTCACATGTGCATCACGCCGCGTCCATTTCGTTTCTCTTCTGAACTCATATGGCTGACAAGCTCTGACAACTTGAAGGTGTTGTTTGACTAGCATCCATGTGCTCCGCTCGAAAATGGCCATGTTGAGGTTTCAAGGGCGCAGCAGTGGCCAGTATTTGATCTAATTTGCCGATGATTATCCATAATCCTTACTCTAGCGCTCAGCAGTGGCCAATATTTCAATTTGATCTTGGGCAAATACTCATTTGATGATTATCTTTTCTGGGATCACTGCAATCCGCTGGCTTCATTTGACTTGGATTTGATTATCACTAACTTGGCGCGCCTCAGACTTGTGTGCGGATCGCGAAGTAGAAGGATCTCATTAACAGAACTACATGTCTTCTCGTAATAAAACTTGGTTTCTGAGTAAGTGTTCTCAGCGCTGACGAAAACAAGTATAAAATCAACTCGATTGAGTTGAAAGGACCTCAGAGACGAAGGCCTCCTGTTGCAGTGAGTGGCACTTTTGTGCCACACTATGTGCATTTTATTGAACTAACATACAATAGCTCTTCTAAGACTTTGTCACAGAAATTTTGCGCACATTGCACAATCAAACTCTCCGTCGGTGTGGTTTTCTTATCAAGGTCGCATCATAGGCTGAAGCATAGTTATACCAGATACCATGAAGCTCATTCAATTCGTGTACCTTATGACCCTTGTCGTTGCCTATGCCACTGCCGAATCCCGATGCCACGATTAATCCTCCTCAACAAAGCATCACCGTGCATCCCTGATCGACCTTAGAACTGCCCAAAAGGGACGGTGAATTACCATTATGGCCCTACGTGCTGGTTATGCTTTAACTAATAACTTCAATTATTAGTCAAACCTAAGGTTAACCCGGTCATTTTTGCTCTCAATACAAGTAAATTCTATGTCCTGTACTGTTTTTCAAAAAGATCGAGTACTTAGCACAGGCAAGATCCCTCAGTCAAGCACAAACAGAGACGCAGCGTCGACTCTTTTCTGACTCGCGCTCTAACAACTTAGGGGTGTTACTTGACTACAATCCCTGCACTCCACTCAGAAATGGCCGAGGGCTGTGCATTGATCCGAAGCTATGGTCCACATAGTGGAGCGTAGATGACATCGACGTCGCTCATCGTAATTGCACTTGCACAGGTAACTATAGGTTCCAATCACTTACTCCGTATCTATTATTTATTCGAGGTATACCAGGGTATACTCATTTTCTAGGACGTCGGGCGTCTTTGACCTCCCTTTCTGAGATCGATCCACTTGACAAGTCGAGTCGTCGTACCGTGTTCTACAGATTCGTCGATGTCTGTTTGAATGCTAATTGCATGCTGAGCTTGTTCGCACAAACGTCGACAAACAGCTGAGAGTCCCTCTTGAGTCTCGATGTCCTATTTTCCCACTTGCTTTTCTCTACCTTGCTTGGTGTTTCTACTTTTTCCTCGCGACACAGGTCCCAGGATGTATTTATCCTGTACAGCAGACAATGTCACTGTAGTGCAGTGAATAGCAATCAGAACCGGGTACTGGAGTCTGGCGCAGACGCAACGCTACGATAAGATATACGTGTGGCCTTTGTGTATTCTGGCTCGCTTGAGCACGGTGGGTATATGCCATCCGTGCGACCCCTTACAGGCGTCAGACCGTCGTTTCCGTTAGGAATGCCGTCGCTATATAGATCGGCCCTCTTCGAGTCGCTTCCAGACACGCTCTTTCCTACCTTCTTTTCCTGTTGCTCTGTCGTTCCGAGGACCGAATCCCGCCGTACGCACGCACCAGCCACGTCATGTTCCTAACTTCAATACAATACCTTGCTCAAACTCTGATAACCTGTACCAGGTGGGAGAAGATCAGCGTTATACCGGAAGATCCGGAACGAGAACAGCACTGATTATCTCTGGGCGACACAAAATATATACAAATTATCTGAACCACAAGTTACGAAGATGTTAATCTCATCTTGGAAGAGCGCCAGCGCGTGTAACTCGTAGTGGAAGAAGCTTAGGCCAAGGATGTCCTTGTGCCGTTCATTGGAAATGACCGCCATCCAACTTGACCTGTGGGTATGACTCCTGGAGTGCTCCCACGGCGTCACTGACTAGTACTAGACCTTGACCAAGTACTATCTCCTACCGCTCCACTCTGGTACGGCCAGCTGTGCATTGATCAGGACACGTAGTCTACATTGTTAGCGTCGGTAATATATTGTCCATCGTATTCAAGTGCTTGCACAGGCAAGTGTAGGTTCCTAGTTTACCCACATGTACTTGAAAAACGTAGGCGGTCGAGCTATAGATGTATGGTTCACTCAGAAATTTAATTAATTAATTCGAGAGGAGCTTCCAAGTGGAGAGAACAGTACTCATAGCTCCTTCGTAGCAGTCCAAAGCTCAAAAACTAGTTCGAAAATCCTCGAATCAGGGTACGACCACTCAATTGTTCCGGGGAATGTAACAGAAAATAGAATCAGTCATCTACAGTACCTAGTACAGACCCACAAGGTAGAGAGCATCTAGGACATCAATCAACGGCAGCATGCAAATTTGTATGCTTGAAGACAAGACACCAACTAAAATTGTCAAACAAAACATGTTTGATGTACACCATGTTGCTCACAGGCTGCTAGGCTCGAACATCGAGAATTGAAATGTTTGCAATGAGGTGCAATAGTAGTGTGGAATGTTCTGCGTGGGTATGGTATGGTATGCCGGGAGGGTGCAAAGATGTTTGGAAGGTGCGAGAGGGCGGTAGATGGTGCAATAATCTAAGCAGGGTAGACGAAATTTCTGAAGTAGGTGCGGGGAGGCGTAAGTTGGAGGTAAGGGGGGATTGTCATAGAATACTGGAGGTATCGGAAGATGAGACAAGGACTGAAAAGGTGCGAGGGGCAGGGTCAGGGTGTGAGCAGCAAGAAAGTATGAATCCGCAACCAAGCTGGAAATCTATGATCACTGTACAAAGAATGGGCGTACACTGGAGTTGGAGTCCGGACTGTCGGGGTCCCTTGAGTAAGCACGTGGAAGTTTCCCCCGACAGCGGTTGGTACTCCTCACTTGCTCCTCGCCATGACCATTGTCAGACCAAGAAGGGGGAGATAGGATCCCTATTCGATTCCGTTCAACTATTCCGTTTTCCAAGAGGAACGTCGAGATCGTCAATGGAAGAAGCAGGTCTTGGCGGAGTAGATTGGTTGATCCGTGGGCTACTATCACAGATCCTTGGATCAGTTGTCGTTCTTGTGACGAGTATTAGCTTGTCTGGCATGCATACATGAATGCTACCTATCCTGACTTTATCAGGTGAGTGGAAAACAAAGGGGAGGAACGATATGTTTCTAGAGTGTGCTTAGTACCTGGATATCTCATGTGTTGACACGAAGTTCTGATGCCACTACAAGATATATCCAGGTACTACGTCCAATACTCCCCGCGGAGGTGAAACAATCAATTTAACCTTAACAGCGTCCCAACAGGCATTTCAGAGATAAACTCTACGATCTGTTCGAAACGCAGCGTCACCACCTGCAAGGATCTCCCCACATGTAAAAATACCGAAAACTCCGGGCGGGTGATGATTGATGACGGTGTGCCTCCGATTCTTATTCTAGGCACTGCAAA